ACTAAAATATTAATACAGCCAATATGCAAATATCGATTTCGAAACTCGATTACAAATTTTATAAAATGTTTTTGTTAAAAGCCCTTAATGTTACCATGGTGTATTATAAACTGATTTAAATTAAATTCGACTATACGTAACTCAAGCTGTTGGTTTTATGGTCAAATTCAATTTGTATCAGTTTATATTTCACCATGGTGACGTTAAGGGCTTTTAATAAAATTTTAAATCGAGTTTCGAAATCGATATTAGCATATTGGCTGTATCATTATTTTTGATGCCTAATTGTATGTCAAATTTAAAACCAAAAGTATTTCCCGCTCATTTATATTAAACAAATATGTATATACTTACATTATTGTATTAGTCTTATTTTTTAATAAAAATTTATTCCAATCGGAATCAAAACATTCAGTACTTTTTAATTTTTCGTGTTATCATGAATTCTTGTAGAAAAAATTGAATGTTTTAAGTGTGGACAAGACTGCTATACTGCATTCTCTACCAGCTAACCCTAGGTAAAACAAAAAGAAAATGAATAGGGCAGTAAAGTAGAATTAAACGCTATGCATATAATAATGGGTAATAAATTCTAGTAATACTTACATATACATACATACATGTTTAACCATAAATTCATACGTACACATACATAATAAAAATACTTAAATATTTATATTCCAAAAATAAAGATATATATATATATATATATATATATATATATATATATAATTTATAAATAAATACATACCAGATGTTCGATCAAAGTAAACACTATACTGTAACTAAGACTAAATCACATCACCAAGGATATGCTCAAAGAGTTTTCTCTTAAAAATGTTTTTTGATAGCGATTGTCGCAGGTCAACAGGCAACTTGCTCCAAATTTTCAGTCAGATTCATTGTTATCATTAGAAAATCACGTCCGTATATTATGGAAGGTGTTATTGAGGAATCGCAAATACTAATAAGATCCATTATCTCCTATTATGCCATTATTGTTTGGAATTTATCATTATTGTTTGGAATTAGACCCAAAACAGCTCTGTCTAAGATAATTTCTGGTCTCCTTTCGAAGTACAAGAGATATGTAATCAATTATCTGATAAAGCGTATAAATATCAGATATATAAGCGTCAAAAATAAAGTCACAAGATTAAGAATATCGTTTGTTTGTTGACCCGAGATCAAAATTATTATTGCAATTATTATCAATTGACTCTAATAGAGTATTTACACTTGTCTATTAAATTAGTAAGCCTAGTCTAGTCAATACAAAAAATAGTGTCTAAACGTGCATATGTCCTTGTACTGCGGAGCAAAAATCAGATAGAACGTTGTCAAACAAAATGTTGTCCGAAAGCGTAGACAATAATTAAGACTTTTCGACAATAAAATAAAACTCATTCTATTTTACCACAGAACGTTATTCTACGGAAGGTGCGAAATTGACTCTTAATTTTATAGCAATACGAGTACCGCCCAAGTATATTCTTCGACATTGATTTCATCTATCGATAGTCATATTTTTTTTAAATCTTCCACCGTTTCTTAATGAGGTTCCTCTAACGGAGAAGAACGAGACGAAAGAAACTCCGTAGGTATCCTCTTTTTTGTCATTTTTAGGGTTCCGTACCCTTTGGAGGTAATAGTAAGTAGTAATAGTAGTAGTAAGTTGTATAATAGGTACACTTTGGAGGGTATTACTCCTAGACTCCACTATCTGTCTGTCTGTCCGTCTGTCCGTCAGATAGTTGAAATATTCACATATGATGTATTTCTGTTTCCGCTATAATAACAATTACAAAAAAAAAGAGAATTGAAAATATTCAACCCGTACAACTGACATGATTTTTTGTCTTTTTTACAGATAATAGTAAGGAAGCCTTTGTGCGCTTGGTCGGGTTTTTTTTCTTAAGAAAATTAAAATATTATAGAACAGATATTTTTCTTAACCCTTTTTATAAAGTTTTTCTTTAATGAAAGACATGGGCATAAAAGTACCTTCCATGTACACGTACAAAGTAAATACATTCTATAATAAAAAATAGAAAGATTTAATTAAGACGTTATTTTTAACTGCTATGAACTTGTCAGTTTTTATTTCAAAATATTATGAAAAATTCAACATGAAATTGTCACTTCCGCCATAGTGCACACATAGAAATGTATTTATTATCATATTATTATTATATTATGTAAAAAGTGAAAACAAATGATCTGTTTTTACCCAAGCTGATTGGTTGACCTCCGTCTCTTAAACTACGTTGAGTTCTCTGGGTATTGGTTTGTAAGGGATTGGCCATGTCATTTCTTAAACCTATTAATAGGTAGCCTTAGCGCATTTACTGGGATTTTGTTATGGAAGCGTGTACACCGCCCCATGAATGAGTTACTTACTTACTCTATGTATTCTAGTAACTGGCATTACAAGCTTGTGTTTGTTCCTAGTATTTATGTTATGTACATCAGTATTCTTATTGAAATTATTAATATTTCTACGTACATACATAAAATTTTCTACTAGCTGATCCGGCAAACGTTGTTTTGCCGTAATTTTTCCGAAAAATAAAAAAAATTAGGGAGGGCCACCCTTAACACTTAGGCGTATATTTTATACCCTTAAGTGTTATTTATAAACCTATTCTCAGACCAAAAATTTAATCAAAAACAGTCAAGCCGTTTCAGAGGAGTATAAAAACTAAAACTGTGAAACAAGAATATAATATATTATACAAATTCGACATGGTGATATCTAAATTAAAAAGATAAACATTACGTCAAATCAGCGATCTAATAAAGGCACCTCCAGAAACAGGAAAATATTTTATTTATTTATTTATTTAAAAATTGAATTATTGACACAACAGTTAAAGAAGCTACGTGGAGTAGTTAAAGCGCTACATAACTTAAGCGCCTTTCCTCGACCGGGTCAATGAGGACGTTTTGCAGACGACGTTTATACATAAAATACTTCGCGTTGATAATCGGGTTGGCAATTTGCTGCACTTACCACCAGAATGCCAGATTGATGGGATGATGTTTGGCTCAATCGAAGAACTGTTTGATAAGATCTTTAAAATGTACGCGAATCGTCGGTAGTCTACACTCACTATGAAGGTCGACGTTGCGTTGATACTACTGCGCACCGTTTGTGCGGCGGATAAACTTGTTTTGAACTATTTTAAGTGGTGCAAGCGAATAGGGTTTATGTGGGCTAAGGTTAGTTGCTTTGAGGACATTTATAGCGTTGGTAAGGTTATGTTGCCGGCCAGAGAGGAACGCTGCTCTGTTCCTAATATCACTAACTTGAGAAGCGAAAGTCATGCGCGAGTCGAAAGTGACACTTATTCTGAGATTTTTGAACTGGCGAGGACCTTTGTATCGGCGTGGCGTGTGAGGGTTTAGGTTACTTCGTGTGAATTACACAACTCTTGTCGTGATTTACCTTCTTCTATTCGTCGTTTGCGGATTCAAATACCGAGGCAGTCGGAGGCGCTTTAATTTAGATTTCTGTCTGTATTAAAGAGCACTGTGGCATCCGTGAAAACGGCAACTTTGTGTGCGGGTCTTTTGGAATGTCGTGATGGGGCGGCTCGTAGAGATGTTGCCCTCTACTCGGTATCGAAAGGAACGATTCCTGACGAACGCTCGGATGGTGTGTACGAGGCAGTCTGGTGCGAGCAGCTTGTAAAGCAAGCAGTTGTGCCAGACTTGGTCGAATGCCTTTGCAACATCGAAGAAATGAGCCGCCGTACTTGTGCATTTGGGGTAATTTAGGTCTTTTAATGTGTGTTCCAAGTGATGGAGCATGGGTTCTGGGGTGGCGTAGCCTGCGGAACGTATGAACATGATATCCTTTCTTTTCGTGGGAAAAACGTGTATCTGAGATCGCATGTTGACTATCGTTGGCAGCTGGCATCTGACCTCACTGTTCGAGCCTCATCATTCATAGGCTTCCAAATTCGTTCAGTCAAAAAATGTGACTGTTATAGTAAAAGTCATAAAGGAAAATCGGAATTTGATTATAAAACAATTTGATTATAATTCTCGATGCTTCAAGGCTCATAAAAACAAGTGGAACAAGTAATATTTATTAAAGTCAAAAGAATAATTCAGGCATTGGGGCGTAATATAGAATAAATATAAATTAGCTGTGAAGAACCAGGGCCATTAAAGTCACTAAACGTTTCGAAAAGAACGCACGCGTTGAATTTTACAGCCAATTTATTAAAAGCACTGCCTGCTATAAATTAATTAAATACAAGGAAAGTTTTTTTTTTAAATAATGACATAAAAAAAAGGTACGTACTTTATTTGTTAACAGCAAATGCTCCTTATCATAACATTATATCTAGCTTTTGGTGGATAATATATGTCTAAAATTAAAATATAGATATGCAATGTACATTGTAATTAAGTATGATAGTGCTGTAGCATTGGGCATCTTCCGTCTACTGCCACAACATAAGCGAGTATTTTGAGCATCCTGAGTGCCCTGGAGACAAGTGGTCCTGCATCACAGTAACTTGGATACCTTTACCACGTCGTCGACAGGGATAATAGTAAGTAGTAAGTTTTTAAATAGGTAGAGTACCGCTTCTTCTTTTGCATGATCATCCCTGGCTCGTCCAGGAAATTACAAATAGAACTCGCAGAAGAAGTAAAGTGGAAATAATAATAATTTTGCATTTTATCCGGTGATCTAGGCCGAGGCTAACTGTTCTGTTGTAGATATATATATATTACTAGCTGCTGCCCGTGACTTCGTCTGCGTAGAATAGGCTGAAGGCGTAACATTCAGACAGAAAGACAGATATACATATTACTGCTGAATGGATTATAAATCCATTCAGCAGTATTTACGTGAAAGAATAACAAACATCCATCCATACATACAAATAAGGATCCAAACAATCAATTTAAATCCAAAGGATACATCCTTTATAATATTAGTAAGGTACGAGTAATATTTTTCAGTTTTGATTAGTATACCCGTCATGAATTCTTCCACTTCTAGATACGCGCTGAGAATGCTAGTACTGTGGCTAGTTTTAGCCGTTTGCATATTGCTCTGGCGATGGTGTAAACATTCCATGTCAAAACTGGAGCCTCCGGAGTGCCCTGGGGCACTGCCGTTATTTGGACATTTGCACCTCATCATCAGCGACAATACTTGTAAGTATTTTTTTCAATATGAAACATCCCGTAGCATTTCGTAAAAGGTGGTAAGAATACGATCCCACCCACATTATTTAGTAGTACTTATATCGATTATGAAGTTTTATTACTATCCTAAATTAGTGGCTTGTATTGTCTGTGATTAGCATTACCAATGCCTTTTTTGCCCATTCTGGTAAAACGTGGCATAGGTAAATAATCATAGTAGAATAAATGAACAATCGTTTAAAAACTGTGCAGCTAGTCAGGAGGCACTAATAATTGTGTAAATAAATGTGTGTGAATTTGTGTATTTAAGCTATATTTCTTTAACATAACAAAAGAAAAGTACCTAAATGTCTATTGTGTTACCAGCATCCTAATTAAGCTGTCATTAAAAATATTAACAACAAAAATTCATCTCAAAATTTACGTCTTCTAATTTTCCAGATTTCTGGACGGTTTTCAAGAAATTTTCAACGGACTGCTTAAAGATTGGCGGTGTCTCAACTTTAAATTTTGGGATGCATAGAGATTATTGTAAGACCTTTTTATTCATTTTACTCTATTTTTTATATTAAACAAACCTTTTCTTTTTTTAAACACTGCCCTTACTTTAGGATAACGTTATCCTGAGTTGTAAGGACGTTTACAATCCGGGGCTTAAGGTCGTTTTACAAACATAAATTTCACCTGGACAAACACCCAGATGCGGGTCACAAAATCTGTGGGTCACAAAAATAGTTGTCCCGTGTGAGGATCGAACTCAAGACCCCTGACGCCGAAGCCCTTAATAATAAATACCTGCGCCACGGAGTCATCAGGACAGAACAACCTATACAGAAAAACCTAAACAGACGTATTAAATGACTGCCCCTAAAAGTAAAAAAGTAACAGCCTATACATGTCGCACTGTTGGGCAAAGGCCTCCTCTATACAGAGGGTATCAGGGCATAGTCCACCACGCGGCCCCGATTAACAGACTTAATTTGACTGCCCCTATTTTATGTGAATTATCTCATTTATAATTCCCGCATACTTTTTTTATATGAGAAGGTGACAATTGAACTGTTGGCTCACCTGTTAAGTTGTAACCGCCGCCCGATACGTTGCCACCTTTTAATAAAGTGGGCCCCGGCTCATTAAGAGGAGGGACTTCTTTAATACATTAGAAGCATGAGTACGATTAGGAAACATTATTTTTCAATTTACATCACGGGCCTGAATATGACTTCAACAACTTCGAATATAATTTTTACTTTTCACGCATTAGTTATAGCGGGGCCAGATGACGCGTTGACTGTAGCGAACGCCTGCATTGAAAAGCACTTCGTCTATGCCTTCGCAAGGCCTTGGCTTGGCCTCGGATTGATTACTTCGCCAGGTAATCTTTTTCTTTTCTCTTGATATGTACAAAATATATTATATAACTTTTTTTTGCTGTATTGCAATGATTCTTCAGTATCGATTCATCTTTAGCATCTTTTTTGCATTCTTTATATTTACTCGTAGTATAAAAGAGTCGCAAAGCACACAAGGCAAGCGAGCAGACAGTTCACTTGATGTTAAATAATCGCCCATCATGGACTTCAATAACACCCACCACTATAAAAGAGGGCCTCGCTTACCTCACTGACTACAAGAAACGTAACATTAAATATAATATACATTACTGCCACGCTGGGCCTACTTCAAAACGTGGTGGTTCCCTTCTTAATGCAACAGCAGTGATACTTTTTGTACTTTTATAATTTCTTTTATCCATCAAATCTCAGATATCCATATATATTTTAAAAGCTATCGGTTTAATACCCTCATTTAATGAATCATCAAACTTACTTTAAAACAATAAGAGAAATGAACTCTTCTTCACTTTTCCTTTTCTTCTTTGTTGGCAACACTAAGGGAAATCACTCCTTGAGGTTGTTGGTAACACTAAAAGAAGTGTCATTCTGTGAGGTATAAATGAAGCTGCAAGAAGCATTTCATGGTCTTTGTCGTCTTCATCGTGATCTTCGTCTTTCTCTGGCTGTCAACAAGAAGTATACGCGATAGTGCTGCCCAATCGGTATCACAGATTACAGTGTTTCATTAGTGATATTAAAGTGATAAAATAAGTAATTATACCAGTATTATTGTTGTGCAAGGTAAACTTTACCACATCTTTTTACAAAAACATCGCGTCGGTGATACTATGGGAGGACCGCGGTTTAGACTCGCTAAAACCAGAAAATCATCACTATGATTGAATAAGAACAGAAAATTGCTTCTTTCTGTATTTATTCGACGGGATCTCTGCAATATGTAGGAGTACTGATGCCGTCACAGAACGCGTCGCCATCAACTCCCCTCAATCCTTTCATTCATAAGCGATAGCGCAACGCCAATACGTCTGTAGATTAAATCGCAATTTCAACCTTATTCCTTCCTCTGGGTAGGTACCCATATCGATTGCGATCCAAGCCGAGGTTCGAACCTCCATCTGAGTTAGTCGATTGTCCATCTTTCGCTAGCAGGGTGTTGCGGAGTGCAGCAGAGTGGACGGCGTCTTCTTGTCGTCGTCGTGCACCAGGTACGTTGCCCTCCCGAGTCCGTGGGTCATCTGCCCGCGCACCTCTTCCCCCGAAGCTGTCAAAGCCGGGCTAACAGCAAACTACACGTCATAACAAAATCCCCTCAATCAACCTATTAAAGCCATTGTAGGGCAGAACTATTTCACGGGCAGCATTGATGGTTGCCTGTTGCACTCTTTGGAGTTCTACTGTATTCCGCGTTCCAGTAGTCAATTTAGTTAAATTATGTATTTAGTTAAAATCGCGTGCTAAAGTGTTATTTCGATAATTGAAAATAGTATTATGCAGTAATATTCTTGATGTCCACAAAGAATTAAGTGTCAACAAATTCAAACATCTTGTGAAAGCTGCTTTAATGGAAAGGGCCACTTATAATGTTTTGTTAATAAATAAATAAATGAATAATGTTGAAAAATACATTCAGGACAAGTGTTTCGAAATGATTCTTGATCTGCACTTGCAAGTCTGACTACTGTTGATTTTATCTTCATCACTACCATCATTTCAGCCTGTTTGAATCCACTGCTGAACATAGGCCTCCCCCATAGCCGGCCACGAAGTACGAACCTGAGCCACGCACTCGACTTCCTGCATATGTGCATAGGTCATCACTCCATCTAGTAGGGGGTCGTCCTACACTGCGATGGGTGTGCGGCATTATGAGGCTGCCACTCAAGAACTTTTCTTCCCCATCGGTTATTGGTTCTAGTATCTTTGCCTTTGTAGTCTTTTGAACGAGGCCTTACTTATTGGATTTTTTTTACGCCTTAAAGTTAGCCTGTATTTAATGCAGAAATTTAGACATTTTTTATATTTTTTATTTTTATGGGGTTTTTAAATTTTGCCTTGACTTTGTGTATACATATTTAGAATCCATTCGATTTATTTGGTTTAAGGGGCAGTATGGAAGCGGCACCGTAAGTTACTGGACCCTGCGTTTAGTCACCATGTGTTGCATAGGTATATGGACGTCTTCAACAAACAAGCGCATCGACTTATTGAAAAGGTCGCGGACCATGCTGGTAAAGGACACTTTGACTATAGGCCCTTAGTTTACCAGAACGCACTAGAAACTATATGTAGTAAGTGGTCGTTTATAAGTAAATAATCCATTGAATATAATATATGTATATACATGTTATGTAACATGTATGGATGTGCCAACGAATTAAAATTTTCATTTTTACCTACTTTGTGAGTAAAAAGTTAAGGAAAAATCGCCTTATATAAAAATTACTATGAATTCTTCGTTGGTTGCCATTATATTATTGAGAATGTATTACGAACAGTGATCGCAAATAAGACATGGAAGCATTAGACGATCCAAAATGGCACAACGAAAACTATACCTTGACGGGCGGGGCTTTTAAAGTTTACCGCGAGACGGCTTTTTATGTGAAAAAGTGGCAAACGAACTGGCTGTTCATCTGATGTTAAGTGATAACCGTCGCCCATGGAATACTTCTACTTTGCGCTTACCTTCTGTGAGGTCGTGGTACTTACCCGGACGTACCTGCCCATTCGTGCAACAGTGAACACCGTTGCGTGGTCCTACCACAGTTGATGACTATACCCAGAAATCTAAAAATGAAGGTAGAAGCAGTTGAAAAGGCGCATTTAATAATTAATTATTGTTTAATTAATTATTATGTGTAAAACTGGCCATTATAGTGTCTGGTATATATGCAGTAGCAACGGCTTGTCAACTACGAGTGCCTTCGTGTTTATGCCGCTATATTTTTGAAAATTCGAAACTAGCGTTTGTACAAATTAGTATAGACTTAGTTAACTCGACAAATAAGTTCAAATTTGTTTGAAGATAATTCAGTGTATTATTGATTTGTATAATATAATGCCTGATTAATGTTAGTGTGAGTTGTGGTGCTCTTTATTAACAATCATTTGTATGAACGTCCGCCTTCCATGTTTTATTTTCGTTCACTTATTATAAACGATGATATTATATACAAATATAGTAAATAATCATTGGGTTTTAAATACTACATTGTTTGTGTCACTATTTTAAATCATTTTTTTCTTTTTTCAAAAATGTATGTACCTACAATTTATTTCTCCAACATTTACAACATTAAATCTATCTTAAATTACATATTATCTCATAAACCTAATCCACGCGGCATTGTGCCAAGAACGCTAGCTGCATTTCCTCGCTGAATAGTTATGCTTAACCTTTGAGCGAGAAAAGAACCATTATTATTTCTTTTATTTAAACGTGACAAAGATATTACGTCACTAGATACAGGATAGCTAATATATTGTAATGTATTACACCCAACCCAAACATTCACTTCAACATTGCATGGTTCTGGAAAAAGAACGCGATGTCAAATAGTAACACTCATAGTAACATATAATTATGCTTCGAAAGAAACATGTTTTTAATAGAAGGATTTGACCAACTTGACCAATATAGGTACCGAAATGTTGCAAAGAAGAAAGCTAACCAACTTTTTTTCTACTAAGCAGAGACTGCAATGGATTTTGAGTTTGCTGATGGTAAGGCTGAAGACAGCGAATACATGGAAACGGTGGATAAAATAATAGTAATAATGTTTAGGCGAGTTCAAGAGCCTTGGCTCTACTTCGACATTCTCTTCAAGTGGAGTGGTTTGGAAAAGGCACAAGCCAAATGCCTCGAAATATTAAAGAACGAGTTTACAAAGGTAAATTTTGTGGAGCATTCAATTTTAATATAAAATCATTAATATAATACAAAAAAGTATGTGTGTGCTTATGTACACACGTCAACAAAAGAAAAATAACTAATTAATTGATAAAGATTGTACCAGTACTCTCCGATTGGGAAAACGACATTAAATAATATTGATAACGCTATAATTAAATATATATTTCGCTTCTCGGCTGTGGGTGAGGGCGTGTTTCGTGAAATTTTTTTTTATTTTTTATCTTATATTTTTTTCCAAACGTGCCAAAAGAAGTGTAACTTCAATAAAATGAACCTCCTGCTGAGATAAATATAGAGTACCTATAGAGTACATTTATTTAATTGACTACTTTTCTGAAGTGTCACTTCTAACGTATGTAAATTGCACAACTTGCACACAAAAGTCAGCTTCTCATCAGCTTTTTTTCTTTCAGGGGATAATTTAGATATTAGCTCTTTACCTATGAAATTGCCGTTTTATACGAACTAAGTTAAAATAATTTTTTTTCAAACATTTTTATTTCTGTTATTTAAAGTAAAATATGCGTCGATTGCATAGGTGATAACCTATGCAATCGACGCATATTGTCAATGCAGTGGTAGTTTATTGGATGCCCTTCTTGTAAAAATCAGCTGGTGGGGAGGCAAAAAACTCTTCAGGGCTTCTTCAAAGTAAGGTTCACCATACTCACAGGTCTGTGAGTATGATGGATGGAGGACAGCTTCCCAACCCAACTTTTGCAGCTTGAAGACTGTCTGTTCTCCACACGGTCGGTTCTTCACACTGCGATACATGCAGTGTGATGAGGACGATACATGCGTTAGGTTCATGGGGCACCCATCTGTCAAGCTGTTTAACCTTACCAATTTGCCGCAAAGGGACCAGTATTGTAGCTCGGCTGTAGATTGAGTATCATCAGCTTCCACAATCGCCTTTAATCCAGCATTGTTGACCAAATTCTGGACAACCACGAGGCTCATTTTACAAGTCAAAATTTACAGAATGGAATCGAAAAAACCAATAACGGGCTGTGCGTTCGTTTAAGTTTTCTCCGTAAATGTTGCTTTGATGTTACGTTCCGTTTGTGCCGCGTTAGTGCCACGGCGGAACGCATCCTTACTAATATTAGAAAGATGAAAGTTTTTACATATGGCTGGATGCTTGTTACTCTTTCACGCAAATAATACTGAATGGATTTTAGTGAAACTTTACAATAATATAGTTTATACATCAGAATAATACAAAGGCTATAATTTATATACATATCTGTCTTTCACTCTGAGAACTACGCCTTCAGCCTATTCTACGCAGACGTAGTCGCGGGCAGAAGCTAGTATTTCATAATTACACAAATTTTTAAAGTATCCATAATGAAAAAAGTATTCAAATGTAATAAAAATATAAACCTTATCAATAAACAAGGGACTGAATTAGTTAAAAGAATTTCATTTTTTTAAAACAAAATTGATAAATAATAAATTTAAATAATAATAATAATAAATTTTTTAAATCAAAAGAGCCGTGATAGCTCAGTGTCCGGGCGCTCGCCTTTACTTCAATATATACTCGAGCAACCTGAGTTCGATCCCCGGTGCCGGCACCAATGAAGTTTTTAACTTTAAGTGCTGACTTATCACGTGCTCCGCGGTGAAGGAAAACATCGTGATTCGAAACCTGCATATATTTTCGAAAAATAATAAACAAAAAAAATGTATTTCGAAGATATGTGAAGTCCGCCAATCCGCAAACTAAAGCCCTGATACCCTGATAGAGGAGGCCTTTGCCCAGCAGTGGGACATGTATAGGCTGTTACTTTACTTTTTAATTTTAAAACAAAATTAATTTGAATTTAGAATTCACAGCCAATCAAAACTTTTTTCGTTTCAAATGTCCAACTGAAGAACGGCAATTTCATAGGTATTAAACTTCATAAGCGAAATATCGTAAGATGACATTTGTGAAATGACTCACCTTAATTTAGTTTAATGTTATTTTTTATCACATGGCGATAACATTTTAGGTACTCCAGAGAAAAAAATTGCAGATGAAACAAATATCGAACGTTCAGCCATGCGAAATAAATGGATATGAAAAAGGATCGGGTATGTGAACAAAATTTACTTTTTCTATGTGTCTAAGGTCGCAGGTTAAAGTTCCAGTGGCACGTGGACGCAATTCAGAATATTCAAAAGCTTTTTGTATCAGGTGCGTCACTTGTCATGTATTGGACTTTGTGATTTAGGTTAAAAATAATATTACTCGCTATATCAGTCTTGTGTATAATGTTAATAGCAATTCTCCAGGAATACAAGACGAAACGGTCTTGTAATATTCCTGAATGGCCAGTGCTTCGACTTAGTCTTCGCTGTTGCATAAATGGGCAGGTCCGTCCTGGGAAGTACGACCTTAAAGAAGATCGAGGGTAGTGGAAGAGTTGTACTTCTGCGTTTCGTCTGGTGAGTGAGGCAACCGGAGTCAACTTTATTAAAGGGTAGCAACGTATCTGCAACCCTACGGGTGTTCTACAGGGCCAAGCACGGTGGTTATCGCTTGACATCAGGTGAACCACAAACTCGCCGACTTTTCACATAAAAGAAAATAAATCCAATTACTAAGTTACATTGACATTTCCGTAGATTTTTTTAATGATAGTTTCAGCTATTTCTTACTATGGGTATACGCGACTAGCAGTATCTTTGTGGTTTCATCCGCTTCTTAAATATTCCTTTAAAAGAAGTAGTATTACTTAGTTTGAACACTCCACAGAAGCAAAATCGAAGACGTTTTTAGAATTGCTGTTAGGATTGTCGGAACGGAACGGCACTTTCACTGATGAGGAAGTGAGGAATCACTTTGACACTATCATTGTGGGCGGTTATGACACAGTTGCCACGACGATCCTTTTCACCACGATTCTCATTGGTTCATATCCACATGTACAGGAGCGTCTTCTCGACGAGTAAGGAGATTTATTTAATTCTGGCCTTATACCTACGACTTTTTCGAAATTTCATGATTGAAAATTTGAAATATACGGCATAAAATGTAACACTTGCTGTGTACGTGCATCATTATAGAAAGTTCCAGTTTAACCGTTTGGTATCTTATGTTATGTCAAAGCAGAATATAGCCCTTCATCTATAAAATGTTTAAAAACAAATTGAAATCGTGGCTACTAATCACCCTGGACGACCTGTTAATTTAAGCTATTTGTTTATTCTTTTTATAGTATTGTATTACCGGTGGTAGGGCCACGCAGCAGCCTCGGGTGTTGCACGAATGGGCAGGCCCGTCCGGGTAAGTACCACAACCTCACAGAAGACCAGCGTAAAGTGGAAGTATGACAAATACTTTCGCGTTTCGTCTGGTGAGTGAGGTAGCCGGAGCCCAATTTTCAAAAGGTTGTCAACGCATCTGTAACCCTCGGGTGTGGCAGATGTCCATGGGCGGCGGTATTCACTTAACATCAGGTGAACCGTCGGCTCGTTTGACAACTTTTCGCATAAAAAAAAATATTGTTATTAGTTTAGTGATTCGTTTTTTATTCGTTATTTGCCTACTTAGTTCTTAGTTTCTAATATGTTTTATTTTTATATATTTTAGAGAAAACTCAAAATGAAAATGTATAAAATGAGTGCAACAAAATAATATTATTAATTATATAATAATCTAAAAATGCTAAAGGTTCTAAAATATTTCTTCATTCTCAGGTTAAAAAACGTTTGCGGTGAAACTGATAGTGACGTAACAAGGGATAATCTGTCGCGTCTGGTGTATTTGGACGCGATAATAAAAGAGTCATTGAGGATTTACTCGATAATACCGGCCGTCGCAAGGACTATCGACATGGACGTGAAATTAAGTGAGTTACCCATTTAAGAATATCGGCATAAAATGGAAGTACTACCGCGGTTCGTCTGGTGAGTAAGGAATGATGGGGCCAACATTTTAAAAGGTTGTCCGGGTATCTACAACCCCTCAGATGTTGCAGATATATGGGCGACGGTAACCGTTTAACAGCCGCTGAACCGCCTGCTCGATTGACACTTTTAACATTAAAAAGCAAAACTATCTGGTCGCGTAATGATAGGCAAACACAAACCACACACAAACCACAAACCTTGCCTTAGAGGCAGACATTATACGTATTAACCTAGGACGGAAATCTAACACCAGCAAATTTCGATCCCACTCTTTTGCTATTACGAACTATTATGGATAGGAAAGTAAACCTTTAGTTTGGATTAAGGATGGTTATAGTTCTTACACGCATCTTCCAAAATGACTATTAAACATTATTATAATCATCTTAGTTCCCTCCTAGGAAGGGTCGCCAAACATGTTTATAATGTTGCTTATGTATTATACTTATATTGATAGATTTTTTTTAGACCAGCCGCCTATCTTACGTCAGATCGCCTTCCCTACACCAAGGTCCGGAACAATCAGCTGTTTTATCTTTTTCATTCGTTAGTCCACATATTCGTCGCGTTACCTCTGTCCTCTAACAGTGATGGACACCTACCCATCTCTTCCAAAATATCTAGAAGATTATACAGCGTGTCATTACAATAATCTTTACAAATGATCTTTACGTTACAGTTTTATATGTAAGGATGTTCTAAAATGTTTTGGAAAATTTAATAGCTCGGTGAATATTGATGTTTAAAGAATGTAAAAGTTTAATACAATTTTAAAAAGTTATCCTATCTATGTGTGTCCATTTATTGTCGCGGTTGAAAAGACACGCTGTATATGAAATTGTTTTATTTAAATTTTATCGTGAGCTATAAACGAAGTAAATGAAATCATTCATTTAATTAATTGTTATAACATTTTACAGAAAACTACACTCTGCGAGCTGGTAGAACTTGTATCGTTTCGCTGTACGGCATTCACCGTCATCAAATGTGGGGTGAAGACGCTGAAGAGTTCAGGCCGGAGAGATGGCTGGACCCCTCTACGTTACCGGCCAGAGCTAACGCCTTTGTCGCTTTCAGCTTGGGAAGACGTCAATGTATAGGTAACAAATCGACTCCATTCACACCCTGTCAAGAATATTTGAACTTTAAATACTTTTATTCTTTTTTGTTTAAACATCACGTTTTGATGATTGACACAAACGTGATTGCGATAAATCTGGGTTAACCTATTCAATATGATACCGGGCTTCAGTTTTAAGTTTTTTTATTGTTTACAATCTTTATTGATCTAAAACAAGATTAATCATCTAAAATCATTTAAGGGTTTTTTATTTATTACAAAAACACATCTTTGGGTTTGTTTGGCTGTATCGTGAAATGGCCGCGTATTTAAAATGCGTACGTATCGGATATATTTTCTTTGGACGCAGTAGAACCATATGTACCATAGTAATTTGTGAAAACTAATAAAATTCTTCGGTTTTCCATATTGTGTAGGTAGAGGTTTTGGAAAGGGGTCGTTAGTCAATCCAATCTGAAACCATCATTCTCTTATCAGCGCGCATGCAGTATTTTATGTTTATTAAATTGCTCTAGGAAATCCCTTTCCTCGTGTAAATAATCTTTTTTTTTTAGGATATTTTCGTCACCTATAGTTTTCGAGAAGACATAATTAAATCTTGTGGGGAATACTTTATAATATGAGCTAAGTCGCTTTTTAACCGACTTCAAAGGAGGAGGTTCTCAATTCGACTGTATTTTTTTTTATGTTTGTTACTTTATAACTTTTGTTTGAGTGTACCAATTTTGATGATCCTTTTTAAACGGTTTTATTTAGCTCGACCCGTACGGAATTTATTTGTTTATTTGGTTCAAAATTAGAAATTGAAATTAAAGCACCTTTCCGTTGTCGGATTGATCTGAAATTTGGTGCACACGTTTAATTTAGATGACAATACAATATTCTAGTTTTCGGTGCACATAAAATAAAACCGTTTAACTTAAAAGTTTTTAAACGGTTTTATTTTATTTGGTAGCTGGTACTATCCATGTGGTGGTATATTTCAATTTCATTCTTATTGGATCTTGGGCTCCGGAGATACTTAGGGAACTGCTTAAATACAATTATAAAATGAATACTTATAACATGTAATAATAATAATATGTAACTTTAGATAGATAGATATTTGTAAATATTATATCAATAAACAATATGATAAAAATAGCGTGAATAATACAGAGCGTGATATGTGATATTTGTTTTGCGTTGATATTTAAAGTCGGTTTTGATGTTTGATGTTCGTTAATAAAAAATGGTTATTTCTATACCTAGTGAAGTAAAATCACATTATTTGGAATTAATTAAAAAGTTGGTCATTATTCCGTATTCTTTTTAAAATTTAGCCTATTGGTTTTATCTCCGCATGTCCTCAATCTGTGCTTAGTAATAATTTTGAGCACTTCCTACTGCTCACTTCTTTATGTTTTAATAACATAAATTCTGACTGATCAATTGTTGGGTGTATGAATTGGCTTTCAAGGCGTTACGACCGCCTCTTGTACATATTTTACACTGTTTTGTATTATGTACTTATAGATATATTTAGAGTATAATACTACTAATTACTCCCTGGGATATTCTGTAGTTGCATATAAATCGATCGTATGAATATTGTGCTACAGGTAAAGCATACGCGATGATTTCATTGAAGACAACGCTGGCGCATTTTTTTCGACGCTACAAAGTGACTGCTGATCACACCAAAATGGTGTTGAAAATGGACGTCTTGTTAAAACCGGCCTCGGGGCATGAGATCAGCATAGAGAAAAGATCAATTTAGGTTCAGTTCGTTGTATTTGTGGACATTAAATTAGTATGATAAATCTTTAATCCATACTAATATTATAAATGCGAAAGTAACTCTGTCTGTCTGTGTCGCTTTCACTCAAAAACTACTGAACCGATTTAAATGAAATTCGGAACACAGTCTAGAGCCTAGGAAAGGACATAGTCTATTACATATTACATAAGGGTTGAAAGAAATTTATTTAAGTGCTCAACGCGAGCGAAGCCGCGGTCTAAAAGCTAGTGACAATATATATATATATACGATGTTATGACTTGGCCTACTGAGTACTCGTATTCTATGGGGCACTATATTTTGTCTTTATTATGTAGCGCAGAACAGCGATACAACGTAGCTTATTACAAAACCAGTATTGGGGCATTTGATTGGTATTGATCACTTTGGGTCTAAGGTCTATATACTTTTCTCTTACTTCATTTTACTACATACCCAGTCACCTGCATCAAATGCGCAAGGCATCCTCTCGTCATCTTGACACCGTACCAATTGGACACCCCTTTACATCTTAAGTAATTAATTTAAGCTTAGTTAAGGACTTTGTGAACGAATACATATTGAAGACCATTTTACAAGCTTTTAGATAGTGTCACTTGTGATTGCTTGGTATGTGATAAAAACGCAAGGATTTAATACAAGGTAAAGTTTTTATAGGGTTTAATACAAATGTCCTACAGGTGCTCACTATATGGAATTATTGTTACGTATACGAATATGGTTAATTATCTTTAAAGGATGCAATGTAGGTACTTATGTAATGATATTTTTCTTATCAGGTTTAAATTGTTATTTACAATTTTTAGTTCTTTTTATTTACAAGGTATTATTAGGCAATAAAAGATTGTTTTTAAAAAAAATTTTTTTTCTTTTAATTTTAATACTATATCGTTTTTCAAAATCCCCCGCTGCACAACAACAATTATTTGGTAATTATTTATGACACTTTTATAATCAAAATATATTTCAGTCGATAGAGAAAAGTCACCATGGAAATAAGTTATGAACGAAAATCGGCAGAGACGTTTACTTTTAATAGAAAAAAATTTTTAGACTTTGTTATTTTCACTTTCTTAGTCTGGCATTTTATTAAGTTTATTGATTTAATTGATAATTAACTTATTCATTTTAATACAAAGTGTATCACAGGATCACCAGAATTATACAAAATAATGAAAGCACGGAACGGTTTGTATGTAATATAAATAAAACTATACAATCAATTAAAATTAAAATAACAAAATACCACTTGTATCACTTTATATCGATAAATACCACTTGTATCGATAAAATTGAAACTATAAATAGAAAATAATAGATTGTTATTAAAATTAAAACTAAAAATTGAAAATAATAGTTTGTTATCAATGTGTTAATTGGCTTAACTTTAACGGAGATTGATAAAAACATGGCTTGCGTCTGGCTTTGACAGATATTATATGTTATTTTTATGTGAAAAGTGGCCAAGCGAGCAGGCGGTTCACCTGATATTAAGTGAATACCGCCCCCCATGGACATCTGCTACAACCGAGGGTTGCAGATGCGCTGACAACGTTTTGAAAATTGGGCTCCGGCCACTCACCAGACGAAACGCGAAAGTATTATACTTCCACTGTACGCCGGTCTTCTGTGAGGTCGCGGTACTTACCCGGTCGAGCCTGCCCGTTCGTGAAACAGCTAAGGCTGCTGCGTGACATTACCACGGTTAGCTTAGTCGCCCATAATCGAGGTCACCCATGGGCAGCCTTAGTGCCCGGTCACCTCAAGCCCGGTGGATCTCTAAAGGCCTCCCAAGGTCAACGGTGCTTGTTCGAGCAAAAAAAAGTCCTTCACAAGCACACTATGCTCGGTATTTCTCTGCGTGATTCATTAGTTCGGAACGAAGATCCGCAGTAGAACAAAGATACCTAAAGTGGCTCAGAAGATAAGTTAGCTGAAGTATCAATGGGCCTCTATTTAATTACCCTCCTGCTTATTACAGATTGTGCTTCCTATTCTCAGCCTATTTTGCCTCCATTGCAACATTATAAAGGTGTTGGAAAGATTTGTGGGTTGTCTAAGCTATTTTCATCTATTGCCGAGAAATTCTTTACTATAAGGCATTTTTAAGTGACTATTTCTAGGTATTTATATACATTTATGTATATTTCAAACCGGTACTTGTAGTCCTTCAGAGGCTCTTTAATTCCGTCCTTCAGGGTGGCACTACACCAGAGGCGTGGAGCAGAAGTGTGGTGGTGCTGTTCTTCAAGAAAGGCGATAACGCTCTCTTGAAGAACTATAGACCGATATCCCTTCTGAGCCGCGGCTATGTGCTGTTCTCAAGAGTCATCTTGAATCGTCTCGCTTCCAGACTCGACGACTTCCAGCCTCCCGAACAAGCCGGATTCCGAAAAGGCTTCAGTACCATAGACCACATACACACCGTGCGGCAGATTATACAGAAGACCGAAGAGTATAATCTGCCTTTATGTCTAGCGTATGTGGACTATGAGAAAGCCTTAGATTCTGTCGAAATGTGGGCGGTACTCCAGGCTCTTCAGCGGTGCCAAATTGACTGTCGGTATATCGAAGTGCTGAGGTGTTTGTATAGCAAGGCTACGATGTCCGTCCAAGTACAGTCCAGTAGTACAAAACCTATCCAACTGCAGAAGGGTGTAAGACAGGGTGATGTCATATCCCCGAAACTCTTCACCGCTGCGTTGGAAGATGTTTTCAAGCTTCTGGACTGGAAAGGACGAGGTATTAACATCAATGGCGAATACATCACCCACCTTCGATTTGCCGACGATATAGTCTTCATGGCAGAATCGCTGGAGGACCTGGGTGCTATGCTCAATGACCTCAACAGTGTCTCCCAACGGGTGGACCTTAAGATGAACATGGACAAGACGAAGATCATGTTTAATGTCCATGTCACGCCTATACCGGTTGTTGTTGGGAGCACTGAGCTCGAAGTTGTTGACGAGTACGTTTACCTAGCACAGTTAGTCCGGCTAGGTAAGTCCAACTTCGACGCAGAGGTCAATCGGCGAATCCAACTCGGATGGGCAGCGTTCGGGAAACTTCGGCAAATCTTCTCGTCAAATGTACCTCAAAGTTTGAAGACTAAAGTCTTCAATCAATGTGTGTTGCCAGTGATGACCTACGGAACCGAGACACGGTCCTTCACTGCTGGCCGTATGAGGAAGCTCAAAGTCGCTCAGCGAGCTATGGAGCGGGCTATGCTCGGTATTTCTCTGCGTGATAGAGTTCGTAACGAAGACATCCGCAGTAGAACCAAGATAACCGACATAGCTCAGAGGATTAGCAAGCTGAAGTGGCGATGTGCCGGCCATATAGCTCGTAGAACCGATAACCGTTGGGGAAGAAAGGTTCTCGAGTGGCAGCCTCGTACTGGCCATCGCTGTGTAGGAAGACCCCCCACTAGATGGAGTGACGACCTGTGCAAATGTGCGGGAAGTCGATGGATGCAGGTGGCTCAGGATCGTACTTCATGGCAGTCTGTGGGGGAGGCCTATGTTCAGCAGTGGACTAAAACAGGCTGAAATGATGATGATGATGATGATGATATTTCAAAACGTAGCATTGAATTAGTGAAATAATATCAAAATGCTTTGAGTATTTTATTAGATTATAATAAACATAATACATAAACAACGAAAGACAATCAAAATGTAAAGTCCTCAGTCGTGAATTGAAATAAAATTACCATAAAAAAACTAAAAAAAAGATTTTTTTTGATAACTCACATCTTATACCTGATTATGTCATATTGGTTACTACCATTAATGTGGGAAAGTACAAAACAATGGAAAAACTTAAGCTTTAGTATACAATAAATTGAATTAAATTTTCCCATGGCTTTACGCTCTATACGCATAATTATTTGAGACTGATTAAATTAAATATTAAGTATGTAAATACGTGTTTATTGCAAACAATTATACATTTTAATGACACTAACATTTTTTTTAAAGCTGCCTGAACACGTAAGCCTTTTTAAAATTATAGTGGTTCCGTGTCTAGAGATCAATTTTCTTTACGTAAGTAACTAGAGAACATTAGTGTTTGAACTATTTTGTTTATATCGTTTATGATGATAAACGTGTCGATTAATGGGCCCACAGAGATGACTCCGTGGCGCAGTGCCAAGCTACCGGCTTCGGCATCGAGGGTCGTGGGTTCGATTCCCACAAGGGACAACTATTTGTGCGACCCACAGATAGTTGTTTCGCATCTGGATGTCTAAAATTTCTTTCTATATAATTCAGGCAAAATCTATTTATATAAAAAATAGAATACTAAATCAAACAAAAAAATAAGAGCCACATGGGACATTATTACCCGTATATTGGAAGACCCAAGATATTTAGGGAACCTATAAAACTGGTTAGAGGTAATACTCCCATCCAACATCAGATAACAATATATAATGAAATTGCAAATAGTTTCGAAAATTATTTTTCACAAATTGCAGTTAATGTCACATGCACATTAAAACGTTTAATGAGGACGAGACATAAAAAAATTGATATTCATGTGTAACATCAAAAGATTTTAGCTCTACTATGACCTAGAATCCTCAGAAAAATAAGGAAAAAAATCTTTAATTAATGATAAATTAGATTTTCAACGTGTCAAATATGGAACGTTCGGTCTGTTTATAGTGTATATTATGTAATTTTGATGTGTCATAAATGGTACATTCGTGCTATATTAGAGGTATTTGCTACAAGAAATGATGTAATAAAAAGGGTATAACGTTAGAAAAAACATTCATATCAAGAAAAAATACATCAATTTCTGTTAACATAGTCAATATAGTACTTTCTACACTTATGTTACACGAAACGTTAAATTAGACAAGTATTAATTCCTTAATACAATAATTACTATTAATTCCTTAATACTGATTCTAAGATCTATCCAAAATTTGATTATTTTTTATTAATCCTAAAGAATTAGTTTAGCTACATTTATTGTCCATGAAATGAAGCGAAACAATTTGGCGATTTTATTAAACTGTCCCCGTTTATTTTACAGGTACGACATAATTTACATCAGTCTTAAAACTTCATACACTATTGAGACTTCGTTTTCTTTTCTGTTCTGTCTTGCTTTTCTCTTCTATCTCTTTTTATTTTCTCATATAATAGTAAGTCTTTACTCGTACAAAACGATTTTCCCGTTTAACCCATCTTTTACATATATACGTTTAACTTTTTACAAATAGATAATCACTACTGGTCTATATTTAAGCATATTGTGATGTCAATTAAGCAGTTAATCAAGCATGCAACTTCTGACGATTGTTTAAGAATGTAACGATTGTCAGGTGTCAACGATTCATATCTTAAAAACGATTTCTCCTTTTGCGTTAAATCTTTTATTAGTAAATCTTCCGTCGATTTAATAATAGCGAAGTATCCGTCATTTGTAAGACCGCAGCTTCTCCTAAGCTATAACCCTGATCTTTATAACCTATTTAGAAGGAATGGGGTCTCAACTTGATATATATATTCATTTCAGAGGAAATCGCCACGACCCTTTCCCGTACATTTTTGCTGCTTAGTATAACAAAAATACCAAAAATTCATTTAACTTACAAACATATGTGCTTACAATCATTGTGCTTTTTGCGCGAGTAAAACAGAAGTTTAATTTTCCACCCTCACCATCACCATCACATACAACTCTTTTATTGTTTTGAAATGTAATAGGGACTCAGCAAACATGCCACAGATGGCTTAAAATCATCTATGGAATTTAGTTCTGACTTATTACATGCTTATTGTCCTGAATTAAGCGTTTCCTGTGACCTTACTAAGATACATTTCTGTCTTCTGATGTTCCTTGCTCGTCCATATACCCTTCTTGAAACCCTCTGTCTTCTGTTACTACTGTGCTCTATGATACTAACAACAAAAAACAGTACAGGGAGCGGAACATAATAAAAAACTTCTGAAATCGAATCAATTTTGTTGGTTTCTACTCGTATCTACATTTAGTTAACATGATTGATCGTCATCAGATCGAGTATTAAAATCTGAACCGCTGGTAACTGCGAACTATGTATTAATTATTCATATAAACTAGGACGTTTCATAAGAACGCGCAAGCGTCTATGTGAATAAAGGTATTTTGGATTTGAATTTTGAATTTAAAACTAAACTTCATTATAATTTTTAGGCCGCCATGTTTTTGTAATGAGCACGTTTCCCATAATTATTCATCTATTAAATATGTTAACAGAGTTTCAGCAATAGTTCAAGGATAAATCATTAGCATCTTAACATTATTTTATTTTAATGTGAGAAAATATTCAATATGCTTAATAATAACAAAAGAATCAGGCTCTCTCGCCCTTTGACTTGTGGGGGGTCGAGGTAATTAATTATTTTCACGTTTAACCATCTCTGTGACCTCAAACGTTATAGAGGTAGGTAAGAATAGATAATTATGTGACTGTGATTTTTCACAAGTCATGAATTGGAAAAACAGCTACCGTGTGCTATCGCATGCCGGTGGAGTTTTCAAGGTACGTAAATTGTGGCGCCATCCGTGCGATCGATGCAAACTGGAGAATGAGGCAACGTGTGACGTATGTTCGTTTATATATAGGTACATTGTATACATATAGCTCAGGCCCTGCCTCTGATCTGGCTCCAGTCTAGTGCCGGTAAAAGGTTAAGTGACGGTGTAGCTGGTAGTCCCACATGGGACTATCAGCTACAATTAAAAAAAGAATCATCAAAATGGGTTCACTCAGTTGAGAGTTCCGAAGTGACAAACAAAAAAAAAAAAAAAAAAAAACCTTTTTTGAAGCCGAAAATTGAAAACGTAAAATTTCAAAACACTTAAATAATGTGAGGCTAAACAAGGGAAGGGCCATGAAAATTTACATCTAGAAGGTACTAGCTGCTGCCCGCGATTACGTACGCGTAGAATAGGCTGAAGGCGTAACATTCAGACAGAAAGACATATACATGAAAATATGTATATAAATTATTATTAGATAATATGTAATTTTAGATAGATTTAATCTTGTAAAAATTAGATCAATAAAGATTGTAAATAAAACAATAAAAAAAAATCCTGTCTTATTCCGATGTATAAGCTATATTATTGTAAAGTTTCATTAAAATCCATTCAGTAGTACTTGCGTGAAAGAGTAACAAACATCCATCCATCCATACATACAAACTTTCGCGTTTATAATATTAGTAAGGATTTCAAACGTTCGGGCGTAATGTAGTATATATATAAATATGTGATGCAGCGCCGTGCGGTAGTCACTAAGGTTGTGGATAAAGACTCACTTGTATTACCACATAGCCAATTCATTAGAATATTTAAAATTCTTTTCTAAATTCTAAAACATGTTTGAAATCATCTTATATAATAAATAAATATTCCTGTGAATCAAAATAAGAATCGAGTTGCTTCCTCTATTTAATAATTATATTTAAAATGTCTGCTATTTTAACTTAAAAAAATATGCTCGTTGAATAAAAACGTTTTACTCTGTTAGGGACGGTCGGATACCGAAAGTATATAAAATTTTTGTCAATTGTATTATATTTAATATACGTATTCACATAAAGACACGACTTTGGTGCTTATAATGCTAGTTTTGTGGCTTGCTTTTGTATTTTGCGCGCTGCTGTGGCGATGGTGTCAACCTTCCCGTTCTAAACTGGAGCCCCCTAAATCCCCTGGGGCGCTGCCGCTACTTGGACATTTAAACCTCATCATCGGCGACAGTGCTAGTGAGTTTTTTATTTTTTATAAACTACTGGCTAATAAATTGCATATTTTGTACATAAACAACCGGAATACTGGAACATACTGGAATAATCTTGTACAATAATAATGTTGAATAGTGTTTTTAGGATGCCTGGGCGTTTATATATCTTCAATATATATTTATTTACAAAAAAGAAGCATGCATGTGCATGCACATGTAAAGAAGGTTTAACTATTTTATGTTCTTTCAGTTTATTAAAGAAAAAGCGAACAAAATTACTTCTTTCAAATTTACTTAGCGAGGAGATTTACTACTAGCGCTTTAACCTTTAACATTATATCATTAATTTAATAAAATTGTTAATATAAAAAAGACGGTACTTTTCGTCTGCTTTTTCTTACCTTTTAATTCAAAATACCCAGAAGGTTAGAAAAATTATCAAACAAACTAATTGCAACAGTAACTTTTTTAAAAGAGTAGAGTTATTTTTCATCAAAAGTGGGAGTATGACAAAACATCTAATTCTTGATGCAATTTTGTCTACTTTTTCAGAAGCTTGGACGTCATTCAAGAAATTTTCCCTTGACTGTTTGAAGGAAGGTGGAGTTACACTTATTGACTTTGGGATGAAGGAAGACTATTGTAAGGAGTTTTATATTCATTGGATGATTTAAATTAAGGACCTACTATACAGTCCACAATTAAACATAACATGTATTTTGGTGTTGTTAAGTTTTTAGTACGAAGACAAATAATATTCACTAATTGTAAACCTAAGTAGTTCTTCTAGTATAGCAATTCAGCTCATCATCTCTGCTGCTGCAGGAGACTGGACAAGACTCTCACGTCCAGTGACTTCTTAATTGATGAGGTCCGGATACAGACTGATTGAGTTAAGACTGAACATTTTAATGTTAAAAGATGGCAAGCGAGCAGGTGGGTTATCTGATTTTAAGTGATTGCCGCCGCCTATGACCATATTTTTCTTGTTTTTTTATGTGAAAATTTGCCAAACGAGCAGACGTTTCACCTGATGTTAAGTGAACATCGCCGCCCATGGACATTTGCTACACTCGAGGGTTCCAGATGTGTTGACAACCATTTGGAAATTGGGCTCCGGCCACCTCACTCACCAGACGAATGTGTTATACTTACACTTTGCGCCGGTATTCTGTGAGGTCGTGGTACTTACCCGGACGAGTCTGCCCACCGTAAAATATACTACACTTCAGGCATTGCAATGCGATTTATTCAATTGCGAACCTTTATATTATATTTAAAATAGTGTTAACTCATTCACTAGACAAAACGCGAACGGATAATATTGCCATTTCACCCTGGTCGGCTGTTAGGCTGGGGTACTTCCTCGGACGAGTCTGCCCAGTCTTGCAATAACAGAAGCTATATAACCAACTAATGACCAACGTCAAAAATGACACTATGTTTTCATGGTTTTAGTTATAGCAGAGCCAGACGATGCTTTGACTGTAGCGAACGCTTGCTTAGGAAAGCACTCCATGTACGATTTCGCAAAACCTTGGCTTGGCAATGGATTGATTACTGCGCCAGGTAAGTGATACTACAGACGATACTCATTTCTATTTTATTTTATCCATCCTCCTCGTCTATTGGGGAGCCGGACGACCCCTCACTAGATGTAGCGACGATCTGTGCAAGTGTGCGGGAAGTCGATGGATGCAGGTGGCTCAGAATCGTGTTTCGTTCATGGCAGTCTTTGGGGGAGACCTATAATAAGCATTGGACTAAAACATTTTACTACTCTTATATTTTGCTAAACGATTAACTTGTTCACTAGCGATTGACGAGCTCAAAAACTATTTCGGGAATCACTTATATTAATAAAAATATTTTTTTTTTTAATTATTATTGCCGATATTTGACCAGTGGGCCAGTAATAGTTGCATTAACTAGTTTTGGTAGAACATTAATCATATTTTTTAATTGAAGCTAGCGCTTTCTGTCCGTAGACTATTAAAGCTTCATCGAACAAGCCCGTGGGCAAGCCTGAACCCGTGGGCTAGCCGGAAGCCGTGGGCTAGCCGGAAGCTGTGGGCTAACCTATCAAAGTTTTATTGTGTTTCAGTGTCAGTCTGGCAACAGCACCGCAAGTTACTGAACCCTACGTTCAAGCAGCTAATGCTATACGGGTACATGGACGTCTTCAACAGACAAGCGCGTCGTCTTGTAGGGAAGGTTTCGGATCAAGCAGGTCGAGGGCCCTTTGACTACATCCCCTTTGTTCACCAGAACGCTTTAGAAACTATATGTAGTAAGTAGGGGTTTGTTGGCAGTTTTAAGTCTTTTTTTTTATGTGAAAAGTTGCCAAGCGAGCAGGCGGTTAAGTGCATACCACCACCCATAGACATCTGCAACACCCGAGGGTTGCAAATGCATTGACAACCTTTTAGAATTTAGGCTCCGGCTACCTCTCTCACCAGACGAACGACGACGACGAAAGTATTATACTTCCACTTCACGCCGGTCTTCTGTGGGGTCGTGGTACTTACCCAAACGAGGCTGCCCATTCGTGCAACAGCCGAGGCTGCTGCGTGGCCCTGCCACAGTTTTAAGTGTGCGTTTAATATCTGCTCTATTTAATCAGCTCTGCACTTGGAGTATTGCAAATAATAGCATCTAATAATAGTGTTATTTTCTACGAAGGTGGCAAGGAGGCAAGCACTCGTTTGATGTGTTAACACTTACCTTCCTGCCCGTTTACGGGATGAGGTTAAGTTGACATTATTACAAAGAGGGTCACAATTTCGTACCCTACGCCAGTCTCAGTGAGGCCATTTTACTTCCACTGACAAACCTGTCAATTTATGCAACAATAGATGACCGCGGCGCAGTCGACAAGGTAATGGCTTCGGCAAGGGTCGTGGGTTCAATTCCCACACGGGACAACTATTTGTGTGACTCACCATAGTTGTTTCGCATCTGGGTGTTTGTCCGCATGAAATTTATGTATGTAAAACGTCCTTTCAACACAGGATAGTGTTATCCTAAAGTAGGGGCAATGTTAAAAAAAAATTAACCTTTGCTTGCCACACAGAGGCCTTTCCTAGTACATTGGAACAATATTGAAAACTAAGTCGTAACCGTTATATTTATTTACAGACAGTGATTATCCTCTATCATAATTACATGAACCGATATCCGTGGATAAAAAAATCATAAGTATATAACAAAAATGGTTCAAAATGAATATTTCAAGGGTAATAATAATAACTTTGAGATAATCATATCGATTGTGTTTGAGTGAAGCAGTCTTTGCTGTTACAAGAATGAGCAGGCTCATCCAAGGACCTCACAGAAGTCCGGCTTAAAGTGGATCTGTTGTTATGCTTTTGCGTTTCGTCTGGTGAGTGAGGTAACCAGGGCCCACTTTACTAAAAGGTGGCATAGCAAAAGTCCATGGCGGCAGTTATCACTTAATATCAGGTGAATCACCAGTTTGTTGGCCATCTACTCACATAAAATAAAAACATTGTACAGCCAGATTTATCTGAGTATAGCATAGACGAAATTTAACCATTTGGTTTGTTCTGAACAGAGACTACAATGAATTTTGACTTCGCCGATAATACAGTTATCAACAGCGAATACATGGAAGCGGTAGATAAAATTGCAGTTTTAATGTTTAGGCGTGTGCAAGAGCCTTGGCTTTATTTCGACATAACCTTCAAGTGGAGTGGTCTGAAGAAGGTACAAGATAAATACATTGAAGTATTACATAATGAATTTAACCAGGTAATTATTATTTACTTATCCAATTTAATAATCACGTTAAGAGGTAATTTAATTACCTTAAAATATTGTGTCATTTAGAGTGTAAATTATGAATTAATATCAACGATATGTCATTCTAACGCCCGATTTCTAAAAAACTCAACAATCATCGTAGAATTGTTAACTAATTAGCTGTCAAATGACTTTTCAAATGTCATAACGAAGCGAATGATTAACTAGACCCTTAGAGCATGCGGGTCACCTGATGGTAAGTGATCACCGCCGCCCAAGGACATTTGCAACATCGGTTGAGTCGCAATTGCGTTGCCGTCCTTTAATGTGGCAATAGGCTCTCTTCTTGAAGGTCCCTAAGTCGTATCGGTCTGGAAATATCGTTGGCGACAACTCGTTCCACAAAGTAGTTGTGCGTGGTAGAAAATGTATATAAATATACTGCCTACAACTCTACTAAACATATGCATAGCGTCAAGCATGCACTCATTTCCATTTTGTAAGTCATCGTATGCGACGCGGCACGAACAACACAAGTCATACCAGCTATCGAGGGCAGTTCTCGCTGGTTGTAGCCTAACACGCTGCCCGCGACTACGTCTGCGTAGAATAGGCCGAAGGCGTAACATTCAGACAGAAAGACAGATATACATAAAATATGTATATAAATTATACCCTATATCTTATTCTGATGTATAAGCTATATAATTGTAGTTTCATTAAAATCCATTCAGTAGTATTTGCGTGAAAGAGTAACAAACATCCATCCATACATACAAACTTTCGCCTTAATAATATAAGTAAGGATGATAATGGAGCGTGACTAGCTCGAATATTGAAAAGAATAAAGTCGCTGGTTTGAACAACTGAAGTTTTATTTATTTCGAAACGCTATGAGAGGCCGCAACCGCAAAAACTCGCTGTCATGGATTCTACTATTGCAAAATGAAGCCCGTGTGTCGCAGACCCTGTATTTGCACAGATTATGAGACCAATGAAGCTTAGATTGAGTAGCGTTGGAAGGCCTTACTCTAGGCGGAAGACATCATAAGAGTCGCGGTGAACCGGTGGATGCAAATGGCAGTGTCGCTCGTTGTGGCGTCCTAAGGGGGAGGCGTATGTTCAACACTGGACGTCTCGCGGCTGATGATGATGATGAAGCTTAGATTATCTCTAGTCTAAAACAATATACTCCGTCATTAGAGTCGGTGATAAATTCCTATTTCCCTTTAAAATTGTATCCCTAGTTGTCTTTGGTATAAAGTTACCAAAGTAGCTCTCTTTTGAAAAATTTTCATTTTTTTTTTAAATTCGATTATCTTATCCTTGTGTCTTTTTCTGTTATTAAATTAAATTTAGAGATATTACATAGGCAATTCGTTTGTTCACATTTTAAGGTACTTCAGAAGAAAAGATTGGAGCTCAAACAAAAGTCGCTCGACCGAATGTCCGAAGAAAACGAAGACGAACACTTATCGGGTATGTGAACAAATATAATATGCCAAATTTAAATTTTTATGGTGCTGATCTCTGTTATGTTGAAACATTAAAATTTGTAGAAGAAAGAACGAAGTCTTTCGATGCTGTGGAGGTCGAACCTTTTTTTTTGTATCGGAGGGGGGGGGGGGGATCTTCAAAAGATACCCTGGTACCTTACATGGGTTTTGTTGGGTTCTTACCCACTAAAACCCCCTCGGTGGCCACCCCTGTACGTTTGGAAGGACTCCGGGATCTCTCACGGAACGCACCGGTGTCCCTCAGTACTGCGCGTGAGCACGCCTCGGAGAACGATAGCCCTTTCCCGTTTCCTCACCGTCTTGCAGCGGCTCGAGACCATTTCAGTTCGCTGCCATCCGTGTCCCCTTTTAGTCACCTTTTACGACAGGCAGGGAATACCTTAGTCCTATACTATAAGCCCGCGACCATAGGGCTGACGGGGCGGCTGGTCCGTTTCTGCCGGCCCAGCGCCTTCGTCTTCGAACGGGGTCAGCCCTCTCCCGTTCTCGCGCCTTACGTCTTCGGTATTCATGGCCAGACCCTTTGACGACTATGCTATACGGCTGATTGATACACCGACGAAAATCTGAACGTATTTTATCTACATTGCTTTATTATTTCATGCGATGCTCGGCGTATCAATTGTATCCTTACCAGCATATATAAACAATTTCAAATATCCTTTTACAACGATAATTATACCATAGAGATATCTATTACTGTATGTAAATCATATTTTTACAGTGCTTATATTCTACAAATTTTAAACTTATACCATCATATATTTACTATTGTATCGTGATAACGTTTACTTTCCGTTTGTGAAAATTGTATTCTGATTTAAATTTTTGAACTGTTGAAACAGAAGTGTTACACCTAACCTAATATGAAATTGCAGTTCGGTGTTAACTGATTTTGACTAGCAGATTACTAGTCCGAGTTTACGGACAAGAGTGTTCATTATTTTCTTCTTTTATTCGGGTTTTTGCACAACCTTGTCTTGCCCACTGTTAAGTGTCTCATCACAATTATTTCAATGATAGCTGATGGACCTTAATACAGTCCATGTTAAGCTTAATAGACTTCGACCGACAAACATGCTAACATTTTCTCGGGCTGGGACAATTTCGGGATAAATTACAGCATTCTTTCTTCGCACTCCACAGAAAAAGCAAAGACGTTTTTAGAATTGCTCATGGCAATGTCCGAGAAGCACGGCCACTTCACTGATGAGGAAGTGAGGAAGCACGTCGATACGATCATCGTGAGTGGTTACGACACCGTCGCCACGGCGTTGTTCTTCACCACCATTCTCATCGGTTCATACCCACGTGTACAGCAACGTCTTCTAGAGGAGTATGCAGATTTTTTAAAAGTCGCACTTCTTTTGGGGCGTTCGTAAAAAAGTTTGAGAGTGAAATATTTAAGATGCGCGCGCACACCGACCCGCAAAAAGCGACATGATGGAGTTGGCGGCAAAGCAACCGACTTCATGGTATTACAATGGCAACCAATAACAACTTTTTGACATTTGCCTGTAATTCCAAGTCATAACCGTTATCAATTGCACTGAAAGTCTTTTTCACAAAGAAAGTAATATTTTTTTTTTCTTTTCTATTTTTTTTTCCTTTATTACGCTTAGGAAGTATAACTTCTTAAGTGCTTACATAAGTGCACGTAATTCTTACGGTTGTACTTTAAATTTCCCGCGTTTTTTTTTTCGATAGTTGGAAAGTGTGTATTTATTTCATTATGAGACATTCGAAGCTTAATGCTCTCTTGCTTACTTGCTTCAATGTAAATTTCAATAGCAGAAAGTATGGAACGATATTTTCGATAGATGTTATGTAAAAGTAAAGTAATATACATGTCTCATTGCTGGGCAACGGCCTCCTCTATACAGAGGGTATCAGGGCATAGTCCACCATGCGGCCCCACTGCGGATTGGCGGACTTCACATATTTTCGAAATACATTTTTTGTTATTATTTCGAAAATATGCAGGTTTCCTCACGATGTTTTCCTTCACCGCGGAGCACGTGATAATTCAGCACTTAAAGTTAAAAACTTCATTGGTGCCGGCATCGGGGATCGAACTCATGTTGCTCGAGTATATATTGAATTAAAGGCGAGCGCCCGGACACTGAGCTATCACGTATCTTTCGACGCAGATGTTTTGTAGATCTTAATAATTGAATTAAATAGATGATCTTAAATTTCATGTTGAAAGATTTTATCTTATCCTTTAAACGAGCAATTCTTGTATATATATATATATATATATATATATATATATATATATATATATATATTCGGAATCTCGTAAACGGCTCCAGTGATTTTCATGAAATTTAGTATGTGCATAGATTCGGGAGCGAAAAATCGATCTAGCTAGGTTTCATTTTTAGAAAATGTCCTTTTATCCCTGTTTTCAGGGAATGAAAAATATAATTCGAATATGACGGTAAATTTCGCCGCAAGAGAAAATGTCATAATAGCTCGGTCAGTAATCGGGCGGCCCCAAAACAGACGGCCATGGTTCGCGTCACGATCATTTACACATGTATTTTTTTACTTTTTTTTCGATTCCAGATATTTATTTTTAATTTTTTATCGATTTTTTATTTTGTTATTTTTTCCCTCTTTTTTATTTTCTTTCTTTTGTGAAAAAAAACAGTTCATATTGTCTTATTATTACGTCGGTAAGATTGAAACATATTATGCATTTTTCTTTACTTAGTAATTTGTATCTAAATGTAATTTCCAATATACACGAATTACCAAAAAAAAAAACAATCCTCCTACTATTTATGTTAAATGTACGGTATAATTTTGTAACCGAAAACATTTATTAATAAGGATTTGTATGACATTTAGATTACAAAACGTTTTCGGCGAGTCCGATAGAGACGTAACAAAGGATGATCTATCGCGGCTGGTATACTTGGAGGCCATCATAAAAGAGTCTTTGAGAATATACACAGTAGCGCCGGCCTTCGCGAGGAATATCGACAAGGACATAAAGATAAGTAAGTTCGCAACTTAGAGCACTTAGCATATAAAGTTAGCTGACGACCCGATTGGACTAGTGGGTAGGGAACCTGGCTCTCACGCCTGAGTTCACTCCCCACTACTGGAAAAATGTTGTGTGATGAACGTAGGATTTTTCTACTGTCTGCTTGTTTATATATACATTATGTATACTATAATATGGGTTTATTTATAAAAGAATAGTATGTTTAAATATGTTTATCAGTTATCTGGTAACCATCGTACAAGTATAAGAAATACTTGTCAAGGCAAAGTCAAAGTATCTTTATTCAATATAGGCTTAACTTAAGCTCTTATTGAACGCCAATAAAAAAAAACTACCACTGGTTCACTAAACTAGACCTGAACAAAGAAGAACCGGCAGGAAACTCTGCGGTCTTCTTCTTTGTGTTATTTTTTGTGATGCTATTATACAAACATATTTAAGTATAAAATAAGCAGCAGGGGTCTTGCAAGTTGAGAGCAAGTCATTTCCACACATCCTTGTACTGAATGTATTCTTGGACATTATAGTAGGCTCTTGCCATTAGGGTAGCTTTTACAAATCGTTTGAAATTGTTTATACTTAGTTGTTTGTGGATGTCACGTATTTTATAAAAGTTGATACATCTACCAAGAAACGACTTTGTACTATGGTTACCAGATAACTTTAATAGTTTTTTTAATAGTTTGGAACTGGAGAAATATTTTAAAAAATGCCGTCTCAGTTACTTATGATGACGATACAAATATAGTCACGCATGTGAGTTTGACTACAACTTCCAGAAAACTTCACGCTGCGCGCTGGCAAGAGTTGTATCGTTTCGCTGTACGGCATTCACCGTCACCGCATGTGGGGCGAGGATGCTGACGAGTTCAGACCGGAGAGATGGCTCGACCCCTCTACGTTGCCGGCCAATGCTAACGCCTTTGTCGCTTTCAGCTTGGGAAGACGTCAATGTATAGGTAACGAATATAAGTTGGGGGCGTCGATTATCAGTTGGTGTTTGAATTTGGGTTTAAATTAAAACCAAAGTTCAAGTATCTATATTCAGATTTTAAACGGCTCGAATAGATTATTAGTATTTTGGAGGATAAAGATTGTGTTTTTATTATAAAACATTATAATGTGGAAATAACTGAAATATACCAAATCGTTAACTATAGCGTTAATTGTAACATAGTTACCAGATAAGGCAGGCCATTTATTGTTATATGAGGAAGAGAAAAGGCCCAAGAATAGACCCTTGCCGAACCCTCATATTTACCAGGCGATCTCTTGCCTTTCAAATCCACTCCTTAATTTTGATGCCTGAATTACGAAGTCAGAAGATTGAGTGCGGCAACTCTTAAACAATATTGGCTTCTTAAAAACAAATAATTGCAGTAAGTCAGAGATAGCGTCATAAATAGGCTGCTTTGCTTCAGCTTGGGTAGATGGCAATATATAAGTAATAAATGAGAAGGTCAGTGTCCCGGCTCGATGCTCATCGGGAATTTCTTTTCGATGTTTCTATTCGAATTTAAAATATTAGTTTTTCGGAAAAGAATTACTACTTAAATATCCGGGTGGTAAAAAATATAAACTTCTTAGAACATATAAATGTTTAAGTAGACTTGACATATTTTTTATGGAAATAAGGAGGCAAACGATTCCAGAAGGTAAGTGCACCAACAGAGGAGTAACAGTTCCGTTTCCGAGACGTAAAGGTCTTTAAGGTATATTTAGGAGCTCTCTTCTTGAAGATCAAGTCGTATCGGTCCGGTAATGCCACTGGCAACAACCGGTTAAACAGAAAAGCTGTGCGGGCTAGAAAGTTGCATAAAAACGCACAATGGTGGACCGCCAACCATCAAGGTGATTTCGATGGTAATTGACGGTTTTTTTTAATGTGAAAAGTTGCCAAGCGAAATGACGTTTCACCTGATGTTAAGTGAATACCGCCGCCCATGGACATCTGCTACACCGGAGGGTTTCAGATGCGTTAACAACATTCCGAAAATTGGGCTCCGGCCACCTCACTCACCAGACGAAACGCGAAAGTATTACACTTCCACTTTACGCCGGTCTTCTGAGAGGTCGTGGTACTTACACGGACGAGCCTGCCCATTCGTGCAACAGCCGAGGCTGCTGCGTGGCCCTACCACGGTTTTTCGATTTGTGCGATGACAGCAGATATCAAGCCGAACAATTAATCAGAGTAGTCCTACTCCCCGTGATATATGCGATATAAAGAGATGCGACATCCTTCCGCAAGGCCATTCGAGCAGCTTTTCATTGGATGCAATCAATTAGAAGGAGCGGGAATCCCCAGTCCAGAGGTGAGAACAGTATTCCATGTGCGGCCGACTCTCTGCTTTATAAAGCTACGATGGGCCGGCAGGAAATACTGACTCGCTCTATTAAGGACACCGAGCTTTTTAGAAGCCAGCTTGGCTTTCCTTCCAAAGGACCGCAAAATCGATTGCCGTTCGATATGGCAACGTCAAGAATTCCGTTCAAATGTATGGCACACACGGGGAAGTAGGAAGATCCGAAGAGTGGGGTGTCTTCATGGGGTTAATTTGACTAGATGTAGTCTGCCCCAATCCAAGATTTTGCGTTACAATATCTCAACTTAAGACACAAGTTTATTCCAACACTCGTCAACGTTTTCCAGAACTCGAACTTTAGAAGTATTTGCCCGGCCAATATATAACGCGTCACCCGTAGTGTTATCTGCATAGCAATAAATTTTGCAAATATGTAACAAATCATTGATATGATAATTATGGAATTACGTAGGAGGATTACCATATAGGAAATGCTAATAATAATATGTTACATTTAACTAACATTATATATACCATTAACCATTCATGATTCCATACGATAACAAGATTTATGTTTGTTTTCCAATTTCATTTTAATGCCATGGAATTTTTAAATTATTTTATTATATAAGGATTTTGTCGCATTTGATTGAATGAGTAATGACTACCCTGAGAGATGAAAATATGTAGAAAAAGTACGAAAAGATTGTCACCGCTGTGGGAATCGAACCCACGATTTCGGCATTCGCGGCCTGACGCTTTAGCCACTAAGCTAAACGGCTGATTACCACCTACACATTTCCACATTTTCTACATATTTTCATGTTTAATCTTAAGTGCAGAGATTAGCACTATAAATAATTTAATTTCTACCCTGAGAGATGTTTTTATGCCCAATTACGATTTTAGATAAATTCTTAACTTAACTGTATTTTTGCAATTTACGAATCAAAAATTAATATACAGTTACAATACGCGCTAAGTTAATGTACATATATTAACTTCTTAATTTCAAACCATTATAAGTGACGATTAGTTGAAGATTTGTTATTTGAAATAGTGTGTACATGATGGAAAAAAGCAAAGTTATTCGAATAGGTAAATTGTGCCATGGCAAATATAAATGGCACGGTAAAGTGTGTGTGTAAAATGCTGTTCTATCGTGTACATGTTTCTTTCTACCACGTAGCGTTTTTTTTAAAGTGGATGCTTCTTTTATAGGTAATTTACAAGTTTAAAATGCACAGTACTTATATCGATGTTATTTAATGATGAGATAAGATGCATTTGAAGCAATGCCTGGCGCATCTATTGTTATATCCTTTCCAGCATACAAACAATTTCGAATATCGTTTTACAACGATAATTCGAAGGAGAGATGTCGCCATTGCCTTTTTTTTTTATAAATTTTAAAGTTTTTTATAGTGCTAATCTTTGCACTTAAGATTGAACATTAGAACATGTAGAAAAATGCTAAATAACAATGTAGAAAGAAGGCGTTAAGATTTTCGTCGGTGTGGCAATCAGCCGTTTAGCTAAGTGGCTAGAGCGTCAGCCCGCGAATACCGAAGACGTGGGTTCGATTCCCACAGCGGCGACAATATTTTCGTACTTTTTCTACATGTTTTAATATTTAATAGTTTGTTTGATTTTTGTAATATTTTTTGCAGGTAAAACATACGCGATGATGTCATTAAAGACATCGCTTGCTCATTTCCTTCGGCGCTACAAAGTGACGGCTGATCACAGCAAAATGGTGTTGAAGATGGACATCTTGTTAAAACCGTTATCAGGGCATCAGATCTGCGTAGATCAAAGAACACTCTAGATTTGGTAATAAATATATGTATAGAGTTGTAGCTAGTTTAATGTTGTTGTACTTATTGCATCCTACATCCCCATATCTATAAAATAATCGAGAGGGCAGATTTACGCTTTGGCCATTGTCCACCAGTACCCAATTTGACCCGGTGAACAATGGCACAGACTCCAAAAATAGTTAAATTTTATTAAAGGTTAGGTGAGTGAGGTTACTTAGGATAGATTTTCAAGATTTGATTATATAATATTTAGTATTTTCTTTTTACTTTTTAGTGCTAATAAACTTTTTAGGAAGTCGGTAGATCGGTCTATTTTTCGTTAAAAACTTTTTATTTTCTTTATTTTTGGTGACATAATTTTAACTAGCGGCGGTATTGCACCCGTATAAACCTACCTCTTGAATCACTCTTTCTAGTAAAAAAAAATCAGTTTTAAAGATTTAAGCATACATAGGGACAGACAGACAGCGGGACGACTTTGTTTTATACTATGTAGTGATACTTAGGTACTTTATAAGAAGCTGCTCGTATGAGGAAACAGCGTCAAACTGAAACCGGGAATCAAAAGGAAAACGATTAAAAGCAAATAAGGATAAAAAGCAATTCAAATGAACCATTCTGCGAAACCGTGGCAACGACAACTTAAAATTCATTCGTATATATAATAAGTATTATTCAAATAATGGATAAAAACATTAGTATAAGAACAATACCGATCTAACCTATGCGTCGGTATTTTTCTTTTCTTAAACAATAATACGCAAATAATGATAGAATACCAAGAATACTGAAATACAGTTCCCAAATAATTTCATCTAATATTAAAATGTTCAGAATATCTAATTAGGTTGACGGCGAAATGAACATAATTAAAGACACTGAAAAATTTGTAAAAGGCCTAAAACTGACTTTATCGTTGTTAATCAAATCAAATGTAAATCATTTATTCGAAGTAAGATATTTTCAAACCGTTTTTCGACGTCTTATAATTTGTCTTATAATGTATGTCTCTCATGCCGTGCTGGAGTATCGGAACACCAAGCCTCTTCATCATTTAAATAATCATCTAACTCATAATAAGCTTTTTTAAACAGTGTCTGCTTTACAATAAATTTGAAATTTGGTCCGGTAGATTTATAATATCATCAGGAATTTTGTTGTAACGCACACAGAGACCCACGAATGAAGTCCTTACCGTAGCTAGTCTACATTGAGTTATAATAATCTCTAATATTTGTTATGTCTGGTTATTAATTATGCACCTGTTACACAATTACACATCATGGAAATCACCTACACTGCAACCACCGACATTCTACTACACTCCACCCTCAAGGGATTGTTACAGCTACGGTATTCCATTCTCAGGGGATTGCTTATTCCGTGCTACGTGCCATCGTAATCCCACGGATACGAAGTGGTTGCGCAACACAGGTGTTGGACACCGGGACCGTCCGAAGCATCGCAGCGAGTGTCACTTTTGTCTCTCACATCGAGCAACTGTCACCTCACTTAGAAATGTAGTTAACTTGTAATTTTTATATAATAAAATAAGTAGTTTTAAGTTTAACTTTGCACTTGTTTGCATCCTTAGGCCACAGCCTTCGTAATTCACCAAACACCATTATGAGTAAACATTATAGATACAAAAGAGTATGAAACGTTATAGATGGTCTTATGGTTTTGAAAAGAATATCTACTAGACAACTATTTTAAACAGAATTATTTTAATAAAAATATAGAAAAACTTAGAGAGTCGTTCAATCTTTTTTACTGTAAGATTTACCTTATACAGGTCAAACTTTGTAATTTTTGTACTTCATTAGAGTTCCGAGGAATAGCGAAAAATAATCAAAAGTTTTCGCACAGACAAATCTCTTTTTAGTTAGTATTCAAAATTAAATAAAAGAAAGCTATCATACATAGCGCTTAAAATTCAAGATTGTACAGCATTGTAAGTGTTTCGGAATCGAAGTTAAGTAGATTAGAAAAATGGTGCGCGCGCAACTACGACGTTCCTTCATAAAATGGCGGAAGGTTATTTATCGTGTAAACATCACTCTAGTTATTAAATGAAAGTCTTAATGACAATGTTCATTTTAACCACAAATACATAAAATATTCGCATAATAAATGACTAAACAATCATAAATTGTATTTAAGGCAATGCCAGACGTGGTTTTTATTCAAACTATGTTCACGTCTTTCGAACTGTCAGTGGTATCGTCTGCGTAAATACCTGAGCCAGTGTTGATCTTGAATCGACAGTGCATACATATCCACACGATCTTTTTACGAATACGGGGTTTTAAGTAAAATTTCACTTAATCCGTGTTTTAAATGATAGTCTCAATTCATTAATATCTAAGTGCTTAATATTTTCGTCTGTGCTTTCATGCGTGGATACATCGACACAGTGCAGGAATATACTTAGAACCGAAAATTGGTGAGTATTTCGGAGCTTTCACTTTTGCGTCTAAAACGTGAAACGTGTGTGTCTGTATTTGTTCCATTATTAACTAGAGCCTCTGTTTAAATACATATGTTAGGTACAGAAGGTTTAAGTTGAAGTGTGGTAAACATGACCAAGTAGAAAAAATAACTTATATTTTCGCATAATATTCTTTGTGCGACATTTTCATCTATAAGAATATTGACACCATTTAAAACTGTAATTAAACTATATCCTTGACAATAATGCAATTGACTTAACTCTCTCGTTATTCGAATAAGGTTTGCCATACAATATTGTATTTACTAATTTAATGTACCGCATTTCAAGACGTCCGATTTATTTAAATTTTGCACACTTATTTAATACCGAAGGCACTAAAATAATTTGATAAATTCGTCCTTATGACCAAGGACATCACGATGACTAATTCTATTACAGGTCAATCATTAACCGCCCAAAGAATTAATGAATATTTTCTTTTCTATTTGTTGTTATAGTGGCAACAGAAATACATCATCTGTGAAAATTTCAACTGTCTTACTACCACGGTTCAGGAGTATGGTGACAGACGGACAGACGGACAAACACACAGACAGATAGCGCAGTTTTAGTAATAGGGTCCCGTTTCACCCTTTGGGAACGGAACCCCAAAAATGTTACTATCAAATTTAAATTGACTTAAAGGCTAAAAAATAAGCAAATCTCTCTATAAAAAAGCCGAATTATAAAGTGACAGACATAAACTATTTAATGTAAAAATAATCCGAACGTTAAGAATACTAACTGTCCCCTTCTCGCAAAGACCACATTGAAATAATGTGTATAGGTACCCTCCTGTCACAACCACAAGTGAAACAAGCGTAATGACACCTCATATGTTTAATGCATCAAAAACTGTACACTTATTAAAAGAAGAAAGAAGAAAGAAAAACTGTACAGCTTCCCTCGGCTGTCGAGTTGAAATCTTTTTCGATTGTAATATACAATCGACAGTACTTTTTTTTTTTGACTTGTTAAAAGTCCTTTTTACCCCGCTACAGCATCTAGGGCGGTAATCACTTAACGTTAAGTGAACCGCCTGTTCGATTGACTTTTCACATAAATCAGTGACTACTCATTTTAACGCTGGCCAGTGAGATTTGTTTATCAACGTAACGTATCCTCATGCAGAACAATAAAATTTGTAATTACGATATGATTTCCAAAACAGTAATTCTTTTCATTGGACTAAAAGGGCAGAGCATCACGGCCCCATCTAATAAGGGACCAAAATTATGAAACTTGAACTCAAAGAAAGTGGCCCGAATTGGCCAAGAAATGGTCATAAATTATTGTTAATTTAATGGTTATTTTCGTATCAATTAAAAAAAATAAGTTTAAAAGTTTAAGTCTCAAAATAATAAATATGCAAAGATCCTAGAAAGTTACCAAACACACAAAATTGGTCTTTACCTTGCTTGTCCAACAGTTTGTTTGTTTAATTGTAGTATTGACCAATTACTAAAAATTACGGATCATTTATGACCATTTCGTGACCAATTCATATTACAAATTTCATAATTCGGGCACTGGTCATATTCCAGAAAAACCTAAACAAGTGATTAGTTATTATTTATTATTTTAAAACATTTAAAATGAGCAGAAGATTTTCGAGAGGTGTCGAATTGAAAACGCCTACGATTTTGCGAAAGACTTCGAGAAATAAAACAAACAGGGCGAGTGAAACACCTTTTATAACTTAAGTAATGTATATATTGCTCTACACTGTTATCATATTTAAAAAACATAAATGTAATAATAATAATAATAAACCTAATATATAATAATAATATAATAAAATAAAAATAAAAACCCAATCAGACGAGAAAACAAATGAATATCCCCCCAATAATAATAATAAAATATCTTTATTCACATAGACGCTTGCGCGTTCTTATGAAACGTCAAAATTTTACAAGAAATTAACACGTTCGTAAGTTACCACCGGTTCGGAAAGCAGTTTCTGTTGAGAAGAAACCGACAAGAAACTCAACAGTTGGCTCTTTTTTAAAAAATCAGTTTACAATATAATAGTACAGGTACAATAGTCTTGTTTCAGCCTACGTGAGTATCAACAGTATTAACCCCACACATTGGCGTCGTCAAGATATTCGGCAATAGTATAATAGGCTTTAGCCATAAGTGTACTTTTAATTTTTCGTTTAAATTCATCAAGTGGCAGACTTAACATCGACTGTGGGATTTTATTATACATGCGCACACTTTGCCCCATGAACGATCTGTTTACTTTTTGTAGGCGAAATAATGGCGTAGTTAGTTTGTCCTTATTTCTAGTATTTAGTTTATGTCTGTCACTATTCTTTTGATAATTATTAATATTCCGTTTAACATACAAAATATTACAATAAATATATTGAGACGCAACAGTCAGTATATTAATCTCTTTAAAAAGATCTCTGAGTGTATTCCGGGCTCCGATGTTATAAATTGCTCGGACAGCTTTTTTTTGAATAATAAATATTGAATTTATATCAGATGCACTACCCCACA